TCTTCCTTTGATGTTAATATCTATATTAGCACATTAGCATCTCTGCAGCCGAACAAGAAAGGCAAAAAAAATTCTTAATCTCTTCAAGAAACATTAATTACTCTAAATCTATCCGAGCAGAATATTTTGCATGATTGGTATTTAAACAATGGTAAGCAGCAATAATTCGAGAGAAAAAACAACGAAGCAAAGGTTGTCTCAAAATCTAAGGGGCGGGGGAAAATCTGGAGGCGGGGGAAATGCAGCAGGGTGATTATCACATTTTGCATATTATTCCCTTTTCCAACATTTTACAATTTGTTCCATTATTAGTGGCGTAAACACTAAACTTCCCAGAAATGTAGACCAGTTTGGGGTTGAGTCAAAGAATAGGACTAGTATTCACTTTCAGTCCAAAGATTAAAACCACAAAAAAATGCAGCTGCTCAAATTTGAGCAGCGTTATGAATTGTTTGCTGCAATCAATAATCCTTTTCAAAAAATCGACCGATAAAATTTAGTTACTTTGTTAAGAGATTAACTGCATTTAAGAGCAGCTCAAGGTCATGAATGACAAAATGATAATGACCACAAGCAATTTGCCAGGTTAGAGTAGTTCCCCCATTACCCTTCACACAATGAAGACGCTAACCCAGGCTCTTTTAGAAATCCAGGAACAATTATATATACACACAACCCAAGACACTCAACTTTCTACTTATGTCTTGGAGCGATTCCAGAAAAGCATTAGTTCAATTGCGAACTGTCAGAGAGGTCTGACCTTGCAGTAAAAATGTAAGAAAGACACAATGCAATCCACCTCAGTGGTAAAAGTATGTTAGTAAAAGGGAAAAACGTTCTTCAGTTCTATTAGAATAACCCTTTATACTACACAAAGTTGTGTATCACAATGTAGACATTTAAAAAGGAAGCTCAATTGCAATTTTGTTCTCTCCTTTTTCTGAAGAGGCTGACTCACCCAAGTAGGTTTTTTTTTAAACATGTAAATCTTGTCAGTGAAGCTAATCTTGTCGGGCAGGCTATTCAACCATGGAAAGTATCACAGCCCTGTTCTGTCTTCTCAGAACAGATTCACACGAGTGCATTTTCCAGCAGCAGTCACTTGACAATGACCAGGAGCAGGAATTTTGTCTGATATTTCCTGTTACTAATCGAGAAGTGCTGAGGCCAATTCCACCACCTGACACCCACATTAACCGAGATCAGCACAGATTGGAAAGCAAAGACCTTCTGTATCCGGTAGCTCGTATGAGGCAGTGGCTTTAACAAATGAACCATCAGAGAAGCCAGCCCTAATTTATAAGCATGGCTTAGTAGAGGGAGATTTGCTCCACAGCCTACTGTGTTGACCATGACAAAGGCTGATACTGGATAACTGGAATGTGAAAATTTTAGTGTCTTTTAGCATCCCAACCAACTCTTTCTCCAAATTCAACTGTAGCATTTTGGGGCCCCATATGGAATTTCACCCACTCCCTTCAACGGGACTGAGTTCCTGATAAGAACAAGATCTTCTTGAAGCAAGTCTTTCTTCAACTGCACAGAACTGCTTGTCAAGAGTCTCAATTACCTCAATGGTTTTGGTAAAGCACTGTTTAGTAGCCTTACAGATTTCCTTATGTCTGGATGTTCTATAGAGCCTTTGTGTCTGAATGTGTCAGGTCTGGGTACAGTTAAATCAAAGGAAGAGTGACATTTTCATACATGGAATATTTTTCTTTTCTGTTTAAAACAATTAAACATATTTCACTACAGGTACAGTGTCATTTGATAAGGGCACTTTTGTCGGTAGTGTATACTTTAAAAATCAGATGATATAACTTTCCAAACAAATACTCTAAAACAACAAAGAATGAAATTTGTGTGTGAATGGTTCAAAAAGACAATGGGTAGCATTCTTCGGTGCAATTATCCTGCAAGTATTTCAATCCATTTTGCAACTGTTCAAGATTATTACTTAAGTACTGAATGCCTGTCTTATCAACGTGTCGGAAGATGGCTACTTTTTATATGAAACATAATACTTGTAAAGAAATTTCATGCAAAAAAGTATCAATTAAAGTACAATAAAGAAACACTTCACCTGCCTGGATCATCTGAATTCTATTGAAGGAGACTTCTGGAGAAAAGCACCATTTCTGATTCCCAGCACCAAATAGAAAGGATTCTGCCAATTAAATAATATTGCACCACTCCCAAGACAAACCCAGAGTACTGACATTTAAGATGAACATTTTATTCAGATTTTCCAATGATAATTTACATAATCTTAGACACAATAGTTGCAAGTTGACAAGATGTCTTGTTACCTCAAAACATCTCAAAGTGCTTTGCACAATGAAGGTTAGGGAATGTTAAGTAGATATTGTGGCAGTTAATCTCTCCCGGCAACATCCCACAAATAGCAATGGAATAAATTAACAATTAATCTGTTGCAGGAGGTGGTTGAGGGAGGATTATTGGCCAGGATTTTAAGAGAGCTCCCAGCTGTTTGACATAGGGCCATGGGATCTTTTACACCCACCCGAGCAACAAAACAGGAACTTGTTTAACATCTTGTGTGAAGTACACACCTCCAATAGTGCTGTGTTCCCGCAGTGCTGCACTGCAGTGTACACTTACATTAGGATCTCAGTGTGGCGTTTGTAACGAGATAGGACGTCACTCATGATCAGGCATTCTCAAGTTTTATAACTATAAGTGGATTCAAACGGCCGCTGATACTTTTACTACATACGTTGATGCTTGAATAAATTGTTAAGTTTAATAAATTTAATAAAATAAACGTAATAAATTACCTGATAATAATCCCTCAAGAAAAAAACAATAATAAATTGGTCACTTCAATCCACGACTCTTTGTGGGGACGCTGCTGTGCGCAATTGACTACCGCATTTTGCCACAAATATACAGTCACTACACTTTACAGTCTGTTCTGTGAAGCGCTTCGAGACGTCGAGAAGATGTGAAAAGTGCTATATCAAATGCAAGGATTATTATTATTATTAAGTCTCTGAACATTACCTTGACACCACTCCTTGTAACAAAACAGAGGAAATGGTCAACATCAGAAACTGAATACAGTAAACTCTTGATAACTCGACCCTGGCTTAACTTGTCATCGTGATTTAAGTTATCATATTGCCAATATCCCGGCCGTATTTATTTATAAATTTATACATATGCCTAACTCGCCATTCCAGATAACTCGTCACTGAAAGCTTTTCCTTTGGGGTGACAAGTTATCAGGAGTTTACTGTATATGTAAAGATAAAACAAAGTGAGATTCCTCGACATTTCATAAATAATAATAATCCTTGCATTTGATATAGCACCTTATCACGTCTTCGAGACATCTCAAAGCGCTTCATAGAATATACTGTAAAGTGAATTGATTTTATATTTTGATCCTTGGAGGCACGAACAACTTAAACAATGTATTTGGCAGCAAAATCTGTCTTTTATTTTAAATTGATTGAATTGCCTAAATAAGACTTTAAGTGAATGTGATAGATCAGGTACTAGAATTTAAAAAAATTCAACAACTTTTAAACCATATTTTGAATTGTAAATCATTCACTGAATAAGCAATTTGTCTGTACACTCTCCTATGATTTTCCCTGCTGTGCCTTTCTTAACAGATAAATATCTGGCTCCTAAAGGGAGCTCTCAGAAACTATAATTACTGATGAATGTAAATTGTCCATTTTAATTTTATACAGAATACTTTTCTCCCTTGGTAGATTTTTTCATCCATTGTAGTTGTTTAGTTTTTCAGAACCATTTATGCTCACACAACTATTGAAGAGATTTCTGTGAGCTCCTTTGTCCATAAAGTAGATAATATTTTTCTACTTATTATTAATCTTCTTCCAATTATTCATATTTGATTGATTAATTAATCATACCTGCCTTGTGGAACATGAGGTTAACTGGATGATGAATCAGAACTCTGAACAACATGAGCTTGAAAGCATTAGAAAGAATACATTATTTTCATCCTCATTTAAAAAAGTGGGGTCCTGAAACAGGGGTGGAGTAAAAAACAGAATAAGAGACCGTTGAATAAAATGGGTGCCAATTACAACATGATGAGGATCAATCATTACCATTACAGTATCAGTAATGCAAAAGGTTAGTTATGTGCTGAACATAGGCTTATTAATAAGAGCATACTAATTGGATCTTGATACATTTCTTTGCTCTCAGCACTGAGATAGCAGGTAATTTAAGGAGCAGTTTGATTCACACCAACTGCCATATAAACATAAGAGGAGAAAATCAAACCAGGTTCAAAAACTAACACCTCAGAACTGTGTACATACACATCTTAGACCATGTATGGAGCTCTGAATGAAGACTTTGCATTATGTGATGGGTACAAATGTCATTTGTTGTTGTTTTTGGAGTAAGATGCATAAGGTAGTCACTCCTACTCCATTTTACTGTAATAAGAATAATAATCCTTGCAGTTGATGCAGCGCCTTATCATATCATTGAGACATCTTTTTTGGGGAAACACAGCAGTGTCCCACAAACAGCCACGGATTGAGTAAACAATTTTATTTGGGAGATTTGTTGGCCAGGACTCCGGGAGAAACTCCTTTCTCTTTTTGAAAAGTGCCATGGGATATTTATCGTCCACCATGAACAGGCAGTCAGGTGTAGCCTCAGTTTAATGTCTCATCCGAAGGATGGCACCTCCAACAATGCAATGCACCCCCAGTACTGCATTGGAGTGTCAGCTTAGACAATGTGATTCCAAATCCCAAAGTGGGATTTGAACCCACAACTCTGACTCAGTCAGAGGCGAGAATGTTACCACTGCACCAGCGCTGACACATTTACTGCTGAAATCAAAAATAGTATAAATACATTATTACTTTTCTACTTTTTTGCACCCATCAATAATCAATTTAACTTAATGTTCAACCAACTGAGCCTTGTTTACCAAACATCTGTCAAATAAAAGTAACTATTTTAAGAAAGAAAATACTTACCACTAATATTAATTTGCCTTCAGGAACAGGGAGATTTTCAATTTCCAGATGGTGGTTGCTGTTAGCCACAAAATTAATAGGTTGTTCGCTTGATATCAGAGGAAAACTGGATTTGATGATCATAGCAGGATGGCGTTTGGTTCTGTCTGTATTTCTGTCTAGATTCTGTCTAGATTGCTCCATGCTGATTCTGCTTCTGTGCATCTCCACGTCCCTCAGCTCCATGCTTTTGTCAATGGTCTGTACATGGTGGTAGATATTCACCGGCTTTCCATCATCAACTAACCTCCTCGGACTTCTGGTCTTGAAGTGATCATGATTTCCTGACAAACACCCTGAAATGAAATAAGTTTCAAAAAGACACTTTACGTTTTCTGCTAATTTATGACAAGGCATTTAATTATTTATTGGAATGTTTCTTCTTAACATTAAGGATAACTCTAAGCCTATCCTTAATGGTGACAATAACTTTACTAAACTAAAATATTATAATAATAATCCTTGCATCTGATATAATGCCTTTCATGTCAGAAGGATATCTCAAAGATCTTCACAGGATCCACTGTAAAGTGCAATAACTGAATTTTGTAGGCAAAGAAGATTGCTCCATGTGACACATTGCCTTCAACTTTTGCAAACATTGCTAGGGGCACACATTGAAATCCATTCTTGGTGTATTCAAGGAATAGAATATACAAATATGTTCTCAATAACTGCATCAAAATACCAATAAATAATTATTCCAATAGGTTTCTATGTTCAAAAATTAATATTTACCGAATAATAATAATAACCTTGCATTTGATATAGCGCCTTATCACATCTTCGAGACTTCTCAAAGTGCTTCACAGAATATACTGGAAGTGAATTGATTGTATATTTTGTGAGAAAAACGCTGCAGCCAACTGCGCACAGCAGTGTATACATATCTGATATTTATACATATCTGGCTCAAAATGGAGTCTTTCACCAACAGAGAGAAGTAGCATATTGGTGAAAATAAAGTCAGAATGTATCTGCTTATTTTTCTTTGCAAGCAATGCACAAATCAGTGAGATATACTTAAAGCTAGTGTTTAATGTGCAGAGCAGTGTCACACAATGTTATTTTAAGATCCATATCCCCATAATAACGATAATCCTTACATTTCATATAGCACACATCAAGAGGATGTCTTAAAGTGCTTCACAGAATTTGGTATTTAGTAAGCTGACGTGGCAGCCAATTTGCAGTAGGAAGGTTTAACAATCCGCTCTTAAAATCAAATCTGATATTTAAAAATAATGTTCAAAGTGGATGGAAGGGCTGAGTGCTTTCATTTCATCATTCCCCATTCAAGATAGTAGGAGACTGTGCATGTCCACTATAATGTGATTAACAATGCAAAGAAAATACTAATTTTGTTGCTCTGGTATAATGTCAGGGTTCATTGGTCTGGAACTCTCAGTTTTAGCTCTGACTTTTCTTGACATCTTACCAAAGAGACATCAGTCAGTTCTCCAGGAATCCAGCCGAGAACTGAGCAAATTCACATCAGTACTTTATACGATCTTAAAAGATTTCAACGGACTACTGAAATTGCAGAGTCGAATTTAATGATCAGGTATCAGGGGTTTTAAGAATTCTGGATTTCCAGCTACCACATCCTCTGAATTTCCTGACTCTCTCCAGTATCCAATGACAATACTCACTATTTTCTTATTCAAACATTTCTTTGCACCAGGCATTGCATTTGTGTCTTTTTTATTACTATGTTTGGTTTATTTTGTGCTTATACCTTATCTTACCGTTACAAGAGTATACAATATATTTACGTTCATTTCACTCATGTTACTGGAGTAAATTCTGAGGACAGATTTTTCAACCTTTTTAAAATAATGTGCAAATTGGATATATAAAAAAAAATGCAAGTGAACCCTTGAGCAATGAAAGAGACCTGAAGATGACTGGGCGACATTGTTCAATTATTGACCCAATGCTGAGCAACGGTTACCATGGCAACAAATTAAGTATGATTTATCTTACTTCTTTGTAAGATTGCATAGAAATCAGTTGAAAGATCAGATTTGGGAGGATTATATGTTTGAACCTATTACTGCTCGGACAACAATTCGTGATTGCGCAATATGTACTTTAGCAGCACGGTATCTCCAGAAATACTTCCAGCTCAAATAATCTGTAAGCAACAATCCATCAGGCCTTTGCAGATTTTCAGACTGATTGCATGCCTCTCTTTAATGGCTGACACAATCTGTAGCCCCACATTTCTTACACCACACCACAGGATTGAGAAACCATCTTGAATTGACAAAGCTGAATTATTTTGAATATTTGTGCAATGAGGTTTTGATACCCTGCAAAAACAAATTATAAATTCTAATTCAGAAGACAAATTATTCCAAATGCTTGATTCCAAGAAGCAGAAAGATGATTCCTCACAAGTCCTACAAATTTTAGGGGAACACATAGTGCCTCCCTGCTCTATTCTAGTATAATATATTTATTATAGTATATAATATATCTATTATAATAATAATTCTTGCATGTGATATACAACTTGCATTTATATAGCACCCTCATGTAAGATAATATCTTGGAGCACTGTACAAAGGTGGGATTGGATGCCAAGCAAGTGGAGTTGGACAGTGAGTAATTTTCACAATGACAAAACATCTCACAGCACTCGACAGGATTTATTGTAATGTATAGTGACTGTGTATTTATTATCTTAATTATGAATTTCAGATCTCTGCTTACAATACCAACATCTGGAATTCTAAATACTAATCAAAATGCTTAAACAGCTCAAATGTCAGTCTACACAAGGATTTGCAAATGATTTTCTAATCTTGCTATAATGCACATGTGTCTATAGTGTGATTATAGATCCATTCACAGCAATTTGATTGTTCTTTGCCTATATAGTCCTGCATGAAATAAACTAAAGTGTGAATTGAGCACTAAAACAAATTGTGAATAAGTTGATATTATAACTCACTTGTGTACAGAAAATGAACAAATCAGAAATAGATATTTTAAACTCAAATAAGGTTCAATGCAGAAATATAAACTTTAAATAAAGTGTACTGCATTGCATGTTCATCATTTACAGCAGATAAAACAAATAACTCTAAATGTTTTGCATAAATACATGTGCATTTTAAGATGAGCAAACTGGAGCAAAAGACCAGGTTGGGTTTCAACCAAAACTACAATACTTTTATCCCTGGAGCTTAACAAAATATCAAAGAACTGATCCTGAATAAATTAAATACAATCTCTGAAACCAAGCTTCTATCTAGTTCAATGTCTATCCCAGTTAATGGCCTCGCTCTGGTCTCCCGAAATCTAAAAGCTTTCAAATAGGCAATGCTGGGAAGTGAAGATTGATAGTTTAAATTACCAATCTTAAACAGCATCAGCTCATCAATCAGATCCTTCACTCCAACCTTTGCAGTAAAAGGGTACACTGTTCATAATGAACAACTTCAGAACTAAGCAATAAATACAATGGCTCCAAGATTTTCCATAGTTAAAGATATTCCCTAGGATAAAGCTGTGTCTCGTATTGGATACTTGTCCCTAATTATTTTTGGGGGAAAAATAGACTAAACAAGAATATATAATAATATATATACTGTAATAAATTTATTATGCAGAGGTCTTCAGTAAGGATCATTTTTTACGTTGCTTTCATGACTTGGCTTTGCTAAATAATGGCTGGGTGATCAATTACTGCTGCTCCACCAAAATCAGCAAACTGATAGCCATGGGCTGAATGTCGTATTTCAACACCCATTGGATTGCAAACAAATTGGGTGATTCTTTTTTTTATAAATGTATTCTGTGGATGAATGTCTACAATAAAGCCACAAACTAAAATATCATCCTAGCTCTGACTCACTCCTTCAGCTCTTCAGCTATTTTGAGTTGAAATCTCTGTGTTGCATTTTCAGGATAGCTACTTAGCAATTTTGAAAGAATTATGAGAGGCAGCTCACATGACCTGCTGAAGAGTATTAAAGTACATTCCATTCTTTACAATAATTGTTGTTGCAGCTAGACAAGAACCGTAATTTGAATTATATATTTTTCATTGTGCATAAGTGGAATGAAGCAATTACTCATTGGGAAATGTGCAATAACTAAATTATTGAATTTTAGAAGAGCTTTATAGCCTACTCAATCATTAATTCACAATTGCTCAGGTATTCTTCAATGGCGAATCAATTTTATGAAATCGTTTCCAGTAAGTATGCATCACTTTGGGACGTCCTCCCGACGTGAAAAGCGCTATATCAAAATGCAAGGATTATTATTATCACCTATCCCAATTTACAACATATCCTATGAAGCACTTTGGGATGTCCTCCTGATGTGAAAGGTGCTACACCAAATGCAATGATTATTATTATTCTTTAGAGTTTTTGAGGTATTGGGCAGCCTGCATTTTTTAAATTTTGAATTAAACATCTCTACTTGGGTTTCCGAGATCTTATTAAGCAATACTAGATGTAGGGTCCATGTAAAATAATTCCAAGGGGAACTGGAGAAACACCTGAGGGGCAAAACCATACATTTTGGGGAGGGTGGAAGTGGGATTAACAAAAAGGGCGCTTTTGGAAAGCTGGAAAGGGTGGCACAGACGAGATGAGCCAAATTGGTCTTCTTCTACGCTTCTTCTTCTTTACTCCACACGCCTAATAATAATCCCTCCAAAAAACAAAATAATAATAAATTGGTCATTTTCAATCCATGACTGTTTGTGGGACACTGCTGCGCGCAATTGGCTGCTGCGTTCGCCCACAAATATACAGTCAATTCACTTTACAGTATAGTCTGTGAAGCGCTTTGGGACGTCTAGAAGACGTGAAAAGCGCTATATCAAATGCAAGGATTATTATTATTATTATTAAAATGTCTGTGGTAATGCTTCCAGTAGTTTCTTAACCCATTCCTTGCGCTGATTGACACAAGCAATGGGTTAAGAAAATCACAGCTAATTTTACTCGCGTGTTTCTGAAATAGTCCCAAGTAAAATGCAGCGTTGGTGGAACTGGGTCACTCAGAACTAAATACTGGAGTGGGTTCAAACCCTTCCTCGCCCACCCCACCCCACCCCACCGATGTGCCCTTTGCTATAAACCAGTGGAGCTCTCCGGGCTGTGCTGTGCTGTGCTGTGGAGTGGCGGTGCTGTCCGAGGTGCTGAAACAGAGCCGTTCACCCTCCAGTGACATGGCTGATGGGATTGACTGGTGGACCCGCAGATCAGCCATTGGAGAAAGAAGTCGGTTTGGGCTCATTTGTAAATTTGTTAGCAGCAGAATGACCACAGCAAAAGGGGGTTTCACCAACTGCGGGCTGATTTATACACACCAGCCAGAAGCCTCGACTAGAAAATACATGTATTTCCACTTTTGCTGTAAAGACATTTAGATGGAGGTTCCCTTCGAGCGCACCATTAGCCCCCATTGATGTTACTGGTTGCATTTCTCCCGCATATCCTCTCTCTCTCTCTCTCTCTCTCTGTCTTGTCTGTCTGTCTGTCCTGAATGACAGACAATGATTATGTTGTCGGTGGTGAGACGCGTTGCAGCAAATAAAAAAAAAAACATGTGTGTGAAATGCGGGGCTGGATCAGTGCAGGGTCCAGACACCAGATGCAAAGACGCAAAAGGCCAACACTTGCCATCAGCTGCAATGGGACTCACCTGCAGTCTGGAGCCGGAGCAAAGCGCACCACAAGAGGATACACGGTCTGCCCTGCATCGTGAGTCCGAGCTTTCACCATTCAGCATCCAGATCCACAGAGAAATCCCCAGGATTTGCGTTGAAAGCAGGTCCGAGAGGGAGGTTTCACTGGACAGCCGCCGACTATATCATTCCCTGTAATATCATGGTGGCTCTGATGCTTGGCTCCCTCCTCCCCCCCCCCCCCCTTACACCCCCTACACTTCCAGACAAGCAGAGACAGGGCTGGCTAATGCATCATTTATGATGGTGAGGCTGTCTGGTCTTCCAGCAGGTCTGCGACTTCAGCTGTGGGGTGGAAAAACAATATCAGATTAGTGTGTGTGTGTGTGGGGGGGGGGGACTGGACTGGAAGGGAGCACGATCAGATCTGGCGAATCACATCAGGTTGTACGTGTCTGGGAGATGTTTCCAGTTGTACCCACCTCCCAGTTACTGGAAAACACATTTCCTCCCACTCCCCCCCCCCCCCCACTCGGATGCTCATAATTTCTGTCGCACACACAAACAATCTACGAATAAGGGTAATAGACATTTGCACACACAAAAATAATATTCTTCTATGGGTCTCTTGCACAAACCTCTGAAGTTGCAGGATTCTATTTTATGACAAGGTGTTAAGTCAGTTTCATAAACTCAGACTCCATTCACTAAAGATCTCTCTCTCCCTGTGACTCAACTTTATTGTTTTTTAAAACATAGATTTTTTTTGTGTGTGTGTGTGGGGGGAAGGTGGGGGTGGGGGGAAGGGGGAGGTCAAGGAGATGAAAGAAATCGATCGCGAACGCTCAGCTTTTTTCTGAAGTTAATGTCAATTGTTACATCTTTTTTTTAAAACAATACTTTGATTAGCAAAACTGTGGGATGAAAAGTACCACATGCGATTATGTCTAATATCAATATTGGGATCTACTGCCTCATGCTCTCCAGAATTAGGCAGTAGGATGGGTCCCTCCAGGGAGAGAATGTGCATTCCAATAAATATCTTGAGAATTTCCATGTATAAGTGGGATGCATGGAACTCTCAGTTTGGTTTGGATACTCTTAAGCATGGTGATGGGTTTCCGTATGTGGCAGGCACCTGGCTGACCCCCCAAAAATCATCCTGTGGTGTATTGTACCCCAATACAGTGAAGATAATGTTTGGGAGAGACTATTGTTTGAATCAATGAGTTTCTGTAGTAGTAATATTAGATGTAGAAGTGGTAATACAATAACTCACCTGCCCCAGATTATCGGATTCTGGGTATTCAGAATTTGGACCTAACTGGACAGGGTCCAAGACCAAAGAAAATGCTTTTTAAATTTCTGTGGGCCTGTGCGAGTGTAGATTGTAGTTCAGTCCTATAGCTCAGTGGTTAGAGCACTCACCTTGCAAGCGAGACACCTGGGTTCAATTCCAGGCAGGGCAAAACCTTGGGCAAGTTTCCTTACTCCACACGCCTAATAATAATCCCTCCAAAACAAAAACAATAATAAATTGGTCATTTTCAATCCACGACTGTTTGTGGGACACTGCTGTGCGCAATTGGCTGCTGCATTTCGCTCACAAATATAGGGTCAATTCACTTTACAGCATATTCTGTGCAGCGCTTTGAGATGTCGAGAAGATGTGAAAAGCGCTACATCAAATGCAAGGATTATTATTATTATATATTCTAGACGTCTGCCAGCCACTCTTTTAGTGCGCGCCCCTGCCTCACCTGGCTTGTTTGCCTTCAGCAGCCAGCAATATCGACTTTGACTCAGTTTGAATCCCTTGAGCAGAAGGTGGCTGATTTGTTATCTTCTGCTCATGGGATTCAAACAATTACAATGTTGATACCAGCATTGTACATTGTAATTACACTTAGCTGGAAATTCCATCTCGCTGGACCGGGTCTCCCCCCCCCCTCTACATTAGGCTGGCTAGAGGGGGGATTTAAGTGTATTGGTTATCCCATTACTACAAATTATGCCTTGAGAGAAGGACTTGAAAATTGTAGCTATTTTTCATTTCAGTTGCTTGGAAGAGTTTAAAATAGTGCACCTACAAAATACAGTCATTAGACTTTATAGTGAATCCCATGAGACATTTCGAGATATTCACCCATTGTGAACAGATTATTATTATGAATAAGTTGCATTTATATTGTGCTTTTTGTGTCAAATAACCAGTGCCTTGAGACGTCCTCCTGATGTGAAAGATGCTATACAAATGGAATTTGTTTTTGTAAAACGTCTTGAAAATAAATGGTGAATGTTATTTATAGGCAAATGGAGTAGCAAATCTGTGCCAGTATTTTGGATCTAAATTCACCAAGAAATAGGAAACATAAATCTCTGGAATATGAAGAGTTAATGGGATTGTTCCATTGACTCTTCTTAGCGATGATTTATTTAAATCAATAGGAGAGGATAACATCCTTTGGGAATAAGGATAACCATTTCAAATTAGGAGGCCTGTATTTTTCCTTTGTTCAAATTATTATGCCATTGGAAGAACCAAAAGCTTCACAAGATAGAATCTCAATGACAAATATTGAATTGATTCCTACATTTTTGTATTATTAATGTATGACTGTGTCCCACTCTCTTTGAACAGGGTCTATAGTAAGATATGTTGAATCCAGATATTAACTTTTTAAAATCTTCATCTATTATTTATGATGTACACATTGAGTGATGCAGTCAACAAAAATTACCAATGTATCAGGTTTATATTTATTATATATATTTATTTCAGTATACTCCACTCACATTATTGATTAACTATACTATAACCTCATTGCAGACAGCAATAATATCATGAAACTGTTAGTAAAGCACTGAAGTCTGCACAATGAAATCAGTATTTGAGTTTAGCACTGCTGCCTCAGCAACTTACAGTGGATATGTGAAATCTAATGCACTACAGTTACAAAATTATTTTGTGCAGCTCTCCCCAATTCCAATGCTATTGAGGTTTCTTGTTCCATTTCACCTCAGCAATGTCAATACCTAAATGGTTGTGCTTGTATAATTTATGATTAGCTTGCTTTTACGGTGGGAAAGGTCAAACAAAAAATTAATCGAAGGGGCATTCTCTCATAACAATAATGAGCGGCCACCTCACATCACCTAGATTCCCATCTTAACACATGTGAACAATTCAAAGTAACTGAAGTAAAACCAAATGATAAAAAATTTAAAGACATGGAAAACAATTTGGTTACATTGGAAAATTATATATTTTATCAAAAGAACTATAACAAGACCATACTATGTTGCTTATTGATAAACATCAAACTAGGTTTGCACTTCTGCACTCTTAAACATAAAGTAGCAATAGCCAGTAGAATACGTATACATTACAGTACAGGAATGGTAAGATAATGTTTCATTCTAAACAATCCATAATTTATAAGAAATAAATTTGTCTTGTGCAGTTTTTAGGAACATTGTTTTGAAGACTGTTGACTTTCTAGATTGATGGGATTTATTTAGTGTTTATTATTAAGTTAAGCACATATATAAATGATGTAGCAAATAGATTCTCTACAGTGAGCACATTATACAATGGTTATTGCTACTAACTTAAATGAAGAGGTTGTAAAATATTTTTCATTACACAAATTGTTCTAAAGTAATAATGTATGCATGTTATGCGAACTACATACAAAGCTTTGTGTAGAGAGAATAATAGATGACTGGGAAAGATTACAAACAGTAATCTCAACAAGAGGATCAGATGACTTTATAAGACACAACAAAAATTCTAAAAATATTTATAACTAGAATGCAAATCTAAAATGAGATTACAGCTTTGAAATTGTTTCCAATATATCCATTTTATTTCATAATGTATACTTTAGAGTTTGTGGAAGTAATTTTATTCGGGATCTGTGTTCTGGACGTAGGTACCAATTGGGCACACACAATGACTGCAATTTGGGGTGTTGATCCATGATACTCCCTCAATAAAGGACTAAACATTGTAAAATAATTGCTACAGGTTTACAGATCGAGAAAACAATATTGGTTTCCCAGGAAGTAATACAGTTAGTACATATTACCAGGGTTTAATCTTTCAATGGCAAGTACAAAGGTTTAAACTTCTAGACAGGATAGGACATTCAATGCAGCATTTAACTTAGCTACTTTTTTTTGTGTTGTGTTTATTGTTTTTTCAAAAAATGACATGTCAAAACTCGTTGATTTTCTGACAATACAATTGGGGGGGTCAATATTGAATATTAGAAAAAAATACGTGTTCAGAAATGGCTTGGTGACAAATAAAACATTTTACAGAACTGAATCATTCTGCTTCATTAAGTATGGCCGGTGATAATATATTTGAGTTAAGGAAGAGTCTATGTTATCCATAAGCAATATCCCCAGCCATAGGTAATCAATGCTGTTCAGTGTATTCATACAATTGAATATTTGCATACTTAGTGAATTCACATGTTTGTAAATATTGCAGAAAGGGCAAGAGTTGATTCATTTCTAACATTGTAAGGGAGATGTTTGTTCAGGGAATATCTAATCAATGAATACTCTTTTGTACAGAACAGAATGAGTTCCATTTCAGCGCCTTCTATTCTCAGTTGAATAACACACTTTCTCCTGATGTGAAAAGTGTCGCATAAATGTAATTTGTTGTTGTTGAATATAATAATATTTAAATGAAATACTGTTTTTAAACTGATAGTTTAACTGGGTGTTAAGTAACATTAGCGGGTGGAGTGATGTTCCATACAACAGCAATCCAAATCCCTAACAGGTAGATTATTTGAGGTAAATCTGCCCAGCATTCCTATGATAATAGAGTTGGAGTCAAATTGCACCTGTGGTTTAACAATGGAGTATGAAGGGTATGAGTGAGTCATATGGTGGAAAAACCATATCCAATCCCCCGCCCCACCCCTTCTTGAATTAGACACTGGCTTCAGTTCGACTGCAGACACTGGGTGGCTCAGATTGGAAGTTCAGCAGTGGTGATTGAATCTTTGTGTGATGCTGTGCCATAGTATTGCCACTGAGTCATCTCTGTGTGAGTCAACATGCATGTTGACTCACACAGAGATGGCTCAGTGGCTTTAGGTCACATATCCCCCCCAGCCACAATCCCCCGTCATTCCATGAATAATTTATATTCTTTGACTATTTTAATGCTGAATATCGACAGTTTTCAATGACCTAACCTGCCTTCTCTA